TGAGACCACTGACCTTAGATGTCTGGACTGCTGGTCCCCATCATTTGAATCCTTGTTCACATTTCCATGTTGGTGACCGCCCAGCAAGTCCCTGTTCAGAAGGGGATCCAGCTCTGCCTGGCCCCTGGAGGCTCAGGGCTGCCGTCGAGGGGAGTGGCATCCGCTGCAAGGAGGGGGAGCTGATTCAGTGTCCGTGGTGGTGGCAGGCTGCCCTGTAAACAGTGCAGCCCCGAAGGCAGAAATGCAAGACCTGGCCGAGGAGGAAGTGCCCAGAGTCCTGTATGTGAGGCAGGTCTAGAAGCATGAACAGAGCCCAAGACTAGAGATGGGGGAGGCAGGGCGTTGTGAACTAGGGAGGGCAGAGCAGGGGGTTGGGGTGGGCCAGTCTATAGAAGGCCCCAAGTGCTAGGTGGAGAAAGGAGTGGGGTTTTTATTGGAAGCCATCAGAGGCTCCAAAGCCAAGTTGAAGAGTCAGCAAGGACGCCGGCTTTGAGCAGGTGCACCCAGCACCCAGTGTAGGCTGGGAACGGGGGTGCTGACACCTGCCCGGGCTTTGGCCTAGGGACAGGGGCAGCCCAGCAGGGCCCTTGTTGAAATATTATTAAGCGTTTCAAGAGAGCAGCAGCAGGCACGAAATGAGGCCTGGGGCCCTTCTCAGGGTGGGGCTCCGCGTAACAGGGGGCTGGGGCCAGCTCTGGGGCTGGGGTCCCTGAGAGAGGAGAGCGGGTTCGGAGATCTGCCTCCCCCAGCACCAGCTGCCCTCGGACACAGAGGGTGCAGCCACTGTGCCCATGGCGAGTTGGACGGAAGCACATTGTAAACGTTGGCCATTTGGTTTTCTGGACTGAGGAGTGCCGTTGGGTCGATTGGAACAATCCTAAGCCAGGCCCGCCCAGCCAGTCCGTGTGAGGCAACGGTATGGAGCCGCCACGTAAAATACGCCAAGCCAATTAACTCCGCGATGTTGGCCTGCCTGAGGGTCCACCAAGACGCACCACTGGCTGGGCGACGAGAGGGCTCCTCCTGCTCATTAGGAGGACACCGGGCAGGCCTCATTAGTGCGGGGGTTTTCTTTCTGTTTCCAAGACTAAGAGCCCTTCTTACATTGCATCTGGTGGCTCTGGCCGGGTGGCTCAGTTGGTTGGAGCGTCATCCCGGACACCAGAGGATTGGGGGTTCAATTCCTGGTCAGGGTACATGCACTTAGTTGCAGGTTTAATTCCCGGTTGGGGCACATGCAGTAGACAGTCGGTTAATGTTTCCCTTCCTCTCTCTAGAATCAATAGAAACATATCCTCGGGTGAGGATTTAAAAAAAATGCATCTGGTATAATTACAGAAAAGGGCTCAGGGTTTTGTATTCTGAGAAGGCAAAGAGCTGAAATGCTCTGTGGGAAAATTGAGGACATTATTATGATGACGCCCTGTTATTACTGTGGGTGCGATTGTCACATACAGGGTCTTACTTCAACCCCGGGCTGAAGGGATGCGAGCAATCCAGGTTTCCAGATGCAAGTGGCAAGTGAAGAGTGTTGGAAAAGCCCCTTCTTGTTTTGAATCCTTTGTTTATTCCATGAGGAAGAGGCCTGTTTACCACCAGGGAGGCCTTGCCTCCATCGTCACTACTCCAAGGGCTTTGACTTGCAGCCCCCAAGGCTGGGGGAAAAAAAAAAAAAGTTCTTCAAGAGAAACCTATTTTCGTTTTGTGACCTGTGAAATGTAGTCTATTCTTAGGGTGAATAATCCACTTTGGAATTTATCTAGAGCAAAATTTTAAACCCTAACTGGTTCCCCCAGCTACCAAGCAAATGTCAAAATAACCATCTTTCAGCACATCCTTGTAATGTGGGAAATACAAGTGCCCTTGAACATCGATGCCGGCAGAATAATTGAGGGAAGTCTGACCCTCCAAAAAAAAAAGACCTTTTTTGTTGTTCCCCCCCCCCCCCCCCCCCCCCCCCCGCCAATATTTCCCAAGCTCCGCAGACCCGAGTCTGGGGACGTGCAGCATTTCTGGGCACGCCATGGTTCTGCCCTGAGAAGCGATAAACGTCCTATTTTCCTTTACAGAAGCTTCTCCTGTGAGCCATTGCACATCGTCTTTGGTGTAATTGGTGCCAATCACATCCTCAATTACCAACAAGATGTGTGATTCGTTTCCAGTATTGTAAACAAGTGTGCTTAAAACAGCGTTTCACCGTCGGCGACCATGTTTCTGATTGAAGGGGTGTTAGAAACACAGAGCGTCAGAGCTGGGAGGGAGTTTAGCCGAGGCTTTGGGCCAGTGCTGGGACTTTACACGCACAGAGCTGGCTGCTGGGGGGAGGAAGTGTTTGCCCCGGACGGGACCAGGGCCCAGCCTCGCTGTGTGGGTGTCTCCCTCCCCTCCTTCTTTCCACTTGCTTACTGTTACACAGTGTGCAAGGTCAGCTGCGAAAAGTCAGCAATGCAGGTCAAACTAACTCTCTCTTGCGTCCACTTAGGCCAGTGATGGCGAACCTTTTGAGCTCGGCGTGTCAGCATTTTGCAAAACCCTAACTTAACTCTGGTGCCGTGTCACATATAGAAATTTTTTGATCTTTGCAACCATAGTAAAACAAAGATTTATGTTTTTGATATTTATTTTATATATTTAAATGCCATCTAACAAAGAAAAATCAACCAAAAAAATGAGTTCGCGTGTCACCTCTGACACGCGTGTCATAGGTTTGCCATCACTGACTTAGGCTCTCTCTGGTGGTACCAGGCTGGACTAGTAAAGGCCCAAACAGTGAGTTGTTGGTGGTTCTTTGTAACCCAAGGGCAGGGAGTCCGGGGGGGAAATCAGCCTGGGTTTCTAGACACGGACCTACCTTCCCTCACCTCCTTGGCCCTAAAAAATACCCAAAAAACTCTATTTCCAGCCACTGATGTGAGCTGGCCTGGCTTCCTAGCACCTCTGCAGTGCTTCTGACGGGGGAAAAAGAGGCTGCCCGAACCCCCAAAGACATGGGGAGCTACCCAGAGACAGGCAGCGTGGAGCCCCTCCTTCCCAAAGCCTCTTGGTATAAGCAGGACCCTCTGTGAAATGAGGCAGCACACATGTCACAGCCGACCCCCCATGACATCCAGGACCTCGTCTCCATGCCCGTCATGCTGCCGCGTGAGTGGCTTTTGTGGGTGGATGATGCAGGAGGCAGGCTGCCTGCCTGTCCTTTTAGATATCAGATCAGATCGCACGCCAAACCCTGCAAATAAAACAGGACAGTGCCTGGAAGCATTGTGTGCCCTGTGGGTTCCCTGGGAGCAGTTTCTCTAGGACTTACCCTTCTGTTGCCATGTTTGTACTGAAACGTGACCAGTCCTGGAGCAGAGGACCTTGAACGTGGCAAGTGTAGCGATCACATCCAGTAACGCTGTCTGAAGCCTGCAGGCACCTCGAGTCCCGTCTTTGAGGCGCGTGTGACTTATTTTGTAATTCCAAGTTGTTTATTTCAGGATCGCCTTGTGTGTAAAAGGCGGGGAAAGGACTAATACTTAGCAACACCTGTTAGCATTCAGCCCGACAAGTGGATTTCAGACATGCACACACACATAAGAGCAGTGCTCCGGGCAGGTGCACGATGGGAAAACACCTTTACGTGTCTCTGTCCACACATCAGACTCAGAACGTGGCCGCGGGGTCCTCGCTTGCTTGGCATAAGGATTGCATCGTAGTTTCCTCTTTGGAGCTGAAAGTTATTCCCCAAAACGAACGGGGTGGCGAGGGAAAGGGTTAACCCCGGGCAGCGCCGGGGCCTCCCTCCTCAGCTTGTCATTGTCTCCCTGGTCTGCTTTTTATCAAGCCGGTGACAGTGGCTTAATTTATTTCCATAGTTACCTAGTATATTTGAAAGCCAGTTACTTCCCCTGCAGATCGTAGCGAGCATCTGAACGACAGGGAGGAAGCCACAGGGCACAGAATCGCGACGCAATCTGCTGTGGTTCACTCCCTCCCACCCCACCCCCGCCCCCACGCTGGTCGGTCTGAAGTGGGCTTTGTAGGGAATAAGCGGTGACACTTTCCAGCTGCTCAGGGATGGGGAACACAGCTGCCCGGGACAGGGAAGCGCCTGCTCCCCGGACGCTGTTGGGGGTGCGTGACGGGGCTTCCC